TTAAGCGGAAAATAGAACGAATAAAAGTAAAAGGATATTGGAAGTAAAATATTTTGCCTCATATTGCTGTCTACAGCACAAGTCGAAGTGAATGTAAGATGTACAATGTATGAAACAACAACCGCTCACACCTCTAGCTTTGATCAGCTGTGCCAGCGTTATGATACAGGTTGTATTATCATAACATTTTTCTGAAGAGAATCAAACGAAACTTCATTTAAAAAACGGCAATGTTCAAGTCACTTTATTTGTGTACATGTAAGTATTTTAACGGTGCCTGTGGTGGTGTGTGAAGGTTCTTCATCACATACTACGCTAAAGAAGATACTTCAATTCCCATTTGGCAAATAAATTATATTGAAATTCGTCGTTTCTATAGAGAAAAAGCAGATATATGTAAATAGCTTACCATGTAGTGTAGATAGAGGTGTCAGCGTTGTTTTTTTCTCACACGTTGTACATCTTTACATTCACATCGACTTGTGCTATAGACTGCAATATGAGGCAAAACATTATTCTTCCAATCATATAGTTTCTCAAATGTTTTGAGTGAGTTAGTCCTGGCAGGTAGGTTCCGAAAAGCCCCTCTCTCAAACAATGTCAATTGTGTCTATGGGCGTGTGCAAACTTTGATAGCAATCATAATATGAGTCCCGACACTGTGGAACAGGCGCTCGTCAAATTTTGGGCATATGGAGTCATTGATATCATCTTAATGCCCATTCATTTGGCCTGCTTTCGATGGAATATGTTTAAAAAACATGTATCTTGAATAGACATCAAGAATTTGCGATTGAAGGAGGTGGGGGACGCCTGGTGTCAGGTGTAAAATTAGGGAGAAAAATGGCTGCTAAAATTGTATGTTTCCAAAGCTGTTGTGTCAGTGCAGATCTAATCTACAAATTAACAGTTGTGTCCATTTAGTAAAAGAAAGTGTTAACAAAAAAACAAAAAAAACAACAACGAAACAAAAAAAATTGCCAAACGGGCTGAAGACTGTCGATTTATTCCATTTCATCGTTTTGACGAGCGCCTACAGTCCAGTCAAAAATTTGTGGCACAACTAAATGGATAAATCTATAACTATAACGGATAAACCAGTGCTCTTTGCACTTTGCCTATTATTTAGTGTCAAATTGTCTCAGCTTAATCACATTTTTCCACAACAGTTGAAGCAAGATTAAAAATGTGT